CCCTCTGACTAGTTTGTAAATGGCCACTAGATCCCCCCCCTCAGCCTTCTCTTGTGGAGGCTGAACAGGTTCAGGTCCCTTAGCCTCTGCTTGTAGGGCCTGCCCTGCTGACCCCTGATCATGCGAGTGGCCCTCGTCTGGACCCTCTCCATGTTGTCCACGTCCCTCCTGAAGTGAGGTGCCTAGAACTGGATGCAGTACTCCAACTGCAGCCTGACCAGTGTCGCATAGAGGGGGAGGATCACCTCCTTGGACCTGCTTGAGATGCATCTGTGGATGCATGGCAAGGTGTGGTTGGCCTTCCTGACTGCGTCCCCACACTGTCAGTCCATGTTCATTTTGGCATCAATAACGACTCCAAGATCTTTTTCTGCCTCTGCACTGATGAGAAGGGAGTTCCCCAACCTGTAGGTCTGCTGCTGGTTCTTCATCCCCAGGTGCAGCACCTTGCACTTGTCAGTGTTGAAACCCATCCTGTTCTCATCCGCCCACCCCTGTAACCTGTCTAGGTCCAATTGCAGCCTATTCCTCCCTTCTAGCATGCCCACATCCCCCACACCTTAGCATCATCAGCAAATTTGAACAGGGTGCTTTTTACCCCCTCGTCCAAGTCACTGATGAAGCTGTTGAACAGTGCAGGTCTGAGGACCAAGCCCTGGGGGACCCCACTGCCCACATCCCTCCAGGTCAAAAATGACCCGTCTACCACCACTCTCTGGGTGTGACCCTCTAGCCAGTTAGCAACCCATTTGACTGTGTAGGTGTGGACGCCACAGTCCCCTGGTTTTTTAATGAGAATGGGGTGAGAGACAGTGTCAAAGGCCTTCCAAAAGTCCAGAAAGACTACATCCACCGCGACACCTGCATCTAAGGATTTTGTGACCTGGTCATATAAGGCCACCAGGTTGGTCTGACATGACCTGTCGCTAATGAACCCATGTTAGTTGCCCCTAAGCATAACCTCCCCTGCCGGCCCCTCGTGGACATGCGCCAGGATAACTCTCTCAAAAAGCTTACCCAGGATCGAGGTAAAAGACTGACTGGTCTATAGTTTCCTGGGTCCTCCTTCCTCCCTTTTTTGAAAATGGGAACTACATTGGTCCTTTTCCAGTCCTCTGGCACCACACCAGAGCACCACAAGTGCTCGTAAAGCCGTGCCAGGGGTCCCACAATGACCTCTGCTAGTTCCCTCAGCACTTTGTGGTGGAGACCGTCAGGACCAGCTGATTTATACATGTCCAGTCCCTCCACAAGTTCCCTGACTAGATCCTCACTGACCCTAGGCCTGGGTGCGTCTCCCCCGAGGCCTGAGTGGGTCCTGGCGGATGGGCTGATCTAGTCCCTGCTCAGGAAAATGGAGGCAAAGAAATCGTTAAATAGGTTAGCCTTGTCGTCTGGTGTGATGACCAGATTTCCTAGCGTGTCTTGCAGAGGCCCCACGTTACCCTGTACCTTCTTTTTGCCCCCTATGTATTTAAAAAAGGACTTCTTGTTGTCCTTGATCCGGGTTGCTAGCCCTAGCTCCATCTCCACCTTGGCCTTCCTGACCGCCCCCTGCAGCCCCGAGCAACCGAGGTGTAGTCCTCCCTGGTGACGGCCCCTCCTTTCCATTGGGCGCACACTTTCTTTCTAGCTACCAGACGTTCCCAGATGCTTTTGGTGAGCCATGGGGGAGAAACATTCACATGGGTGGAGCAGAGAGATCAGGACCAATCAGGGCGATAATAAGGAGCCAGGAAGTCAGTCAACTCCCTCAGCGCCACCTGGAGAGTAATGCTGCTGCCAGGACACAGGGTTAAAGCAGGAGTGCTCAGCTCCTGGCCCACAGGCTGGATGCCGCCAACGGACCAGCAGGACCGAACATTTGGTGGGGGGGAGGGTGGGGGGGCAGTGGCAACCACTTGTTCCTTCTCTGCTGTCAAAAAAGGGTTGGGAGGGAAGGGGAGGGGAGAGCATGGCATTGTGCGCTGGACTGAGCACCTGGGCCCTGATGCTAGCGCCCCAATCCCAGCAACGTGGGGGCCTAATCCCGGCGCACAGACCAGCCCCGATCCTAGCACGTGGACTGGCCCCGATCCTGGCGGCACGGGGGCCCCAGTGGCTCAGCCCGCGGACAAGGGCGCTGGTTCAGGGTCGATGCTGGCGCCATGGGGACCCGCACCCACCTCCGCAGCTCCTCCTCCTGGA